TTTTTTTTTTAGCATAATTATAAAAAATATAATCAGAATAAACAGAAGCAATTCTATGACATTTTTTACGGTCTTATGAATTTTTTAAAGAACTGAGGCTGCATACGTTTAATATGTAGATAAAATATGTTGAATTATTCTTTTACATCCAATAGTGTAATAATATTGTTATGGAAATTGAATTCTAATGACTTAGTATTTTAACCTATATAAAATATATTTTCCCGACTTTGCTTATTTTTACATTTAATTCTAAATAGCTCAAAAGTATATAGAAGTATTTTATTTCTAAAAATTAAACAATTATTGATGAATATATTATTATAACTGTTTTTTTTGTATTCATTCTAGAAAGGACATTGCACAATTCAAAACACTGTTACACATCTTTAAGTCAAACGTAGTTATGTCATTTGAATATATATAATTGCTTATTAAATGAAGTTAAAAAATAATTAGCAATAGAAAATAAACGTTAAAATATTTTTGCTTCCAGGTGTATATGAATATACATTTGTATATTCTTTTTATCTATTTATGGACACACGGAAATAAATTAAAAAATATTTTCGTTGGCTAGTTACTAATCCATGATATGTCTGAAATATTCAAACGTTATGTACTCCTAAAAAGAACTAGTTATTTTTATATATTCTACATATATTTTTATACATGGAATATTATTACTTTTATTTTTCATTTGTTTGATAATATATATATTCTTTTTCCATAAGAGATTATTTTATCTTATTTAAAGTATTTGTTATAATTTGAGTATAAACACTTTTAAAGATTTTATGTCTTCATTAAACATTTTAATAAAGGAAATATATAAATCAATGGTTGTTATAGAATAAAAGTATAACCCATTCGTTAAGCTTATTTTGGTTAAGTATTTTTATATATGATTTCAACAGTTTGTTTATTACATATGGGATACATTTTAGTTTCAGCAAATATCACTGTGTCAGTTATTCTTATGTGTACGAACTTTTAATGTACTTGGTTTGATATAAAATTGAAGACGATGGAAACCATATTATATTAACGATTTATTCGCGTACGTTTTTCTAATATATAATTTACTTAAATGCATTTTAAGGATCATTCTAGTTTATAGATATTTTTATACGTTTCTAATGAATTTTGTTTCAGCATTTCAACATTTCACAGCAAAAACATATGACAAATATAATCCCATATATGTTTTGATCAGCATGTGGTAATAATTTTATTATTTTTAGAATATATATAATGCTTATCCATTAAGAATATATTTTATTTTTTTTAAATACATACATATTATATAGGAAAATATTTCATTGATCTCTATATTGGGAAAAATTTTTTAAGATATCCCAATTTTTTAATTCAGCTATATTTGTAGTATTTAATGCATGAATAAAATAAATCAGTATTATTCACTAAAGTACATACAAAAAAAAAAAAACAAATTATTTAAGATATTATTAAAATAAATAAAAACATTAATTTTTAATTTTTAAAATATCCTTTATAAAAGATTTAACCGTTGTAAATATGAAATTTTTTCAATACAATAAAACCAATAAATATATGTAACATTTATAGTGTCACTTAAAGAGAGGATTTATAGCACTTGTTGATAGAATATTTTTACACATAAGGTAATGTTTTGTTTTTCTTAGAAACTATGTTAATTTTTTCAAATAAACATATCTTTTTGCTGTTAGTAGAACTGTAAAAAATATATAGATGAATAATTTAAAAGTTTTATGAAAAAATATAACAACATAAAACATTCGTAAACATTGGAACGTATAAATAAGGTTGTTACATAAACGTACTCCTAACGTAAAAGGGTATATTTTTATATACATGATGATGTAATTATGTGTGTGAGGAATTATCAGCTCTCTATTTCAGTTTTAATAGAACATAAAAATTTTGCTATCACATTTAAAAACTAGAAAATTAAGTTACATTCTTCCAATAGAAAATTGTAATTATTAAAAATTAAAATAATAAATATTTTTACCTGTATGAAAATTACATTCTTATAACGATTATTAAGTTTTTTGCTTCGAAATATATTTTCCAATTTTATTCAAAGTTAAATATATGAACATACATATTTAGATAAAAAGTTGGCAAAGAAAAAAAAAAAAGTACCATGTATTAAAATTGCAAAAAGAAACAAATTATAGAATTATAAAAAAAAATTCTTTGTATAAATTGCATTTACTATTTTTTTTATTAAAATTTTAAATATAATTTATTTATCTAAAGGAGTTTTAGTTGAACTTTAACGAAATTAACAAATTAATATTTTCGCAAGAATAACTGAAATTATTATTCTTTCCTCTTACACATAGTAATAGCGATTTCAATTGATGCATATTTTTTAATTAGAAAGCACTAATTTCATATAATAATCAATTTGTTAGCTAATTTTAAAAAATGTTAAATAATTTTTCTTTTTACAAACTATTTTATATGTTTAAATACTTAAACTTATGAAATGAAGTTGCATAGAATGCCTGCATTTTATTCTTTCTAATTTTATTATTACAAAGTTAACGTATAAATTTGTAACGCACCTTATTGATTAACTGAATATATATTTTAATATAATATTAGTTTTATAAAGTAATGGCTGAATTGGTAAATTTACGAAATTAGGAATTCTGTATTAACACATTATTTTTGAAAATTATATTTTTGTATCTTTAAGAAAAATAAAAAATTGGTTCCAAGAGAATGAGTTTAATTACATTTATAACAAACATTTTCTAATTAATTTTAGGACCAAATATTAAAGGACTTCCCTGCACACGAGAAATATGAAAATTTGAACAGGAAGTCAGTTAATAATGAAGGCAAATATATTAAATGGTGTAATTATTTTAAAACCGCGGATAAAGAAGCAATAAATTTTTGTAAACGAGCAGTGACAAATTTAAGTGATATATTTAACACTCAAAATGAAGGAAATCGGAACGACAGTTGTGTTTATTTTCAACACTGGTTCACTGATCATATTAGGAAAAATTTTAGCAATAATGATAAATTTTTTAGTAATTATGATCCATCGAATTATCTTTATGATGTAATGAACACAGTTAATTATGAGAACAAAAGAGATTTCAATTATAGTTGCTTCATTTCCCGTGATGCCAGAAGCGTTAAGGTTGAAAAAGATTTGCATGATTATTTCAGAAATTTTCATAAGATTAATTGTAAAGGTTTAGATAAGGATAAATGCCAAATGTATCATAGATATGTTCAGTACATTAAACCTTTATATAAAGATCGTAAAGATAGACACTTGTGTTGTTATCTTGCTAATGGTGAAGTAGAAGATCGATGTAAACACTATTTTACTTGTGATAAAAAATATGATCCACAAAATCTATTATATATGTTAGAAAGACAAATGAATAGTACAGATAACGGAAAAATAATTGGATCAGCATGGAATCTTTTTCCTAATAATCAGAATTATGGAATGTACGATGAAAATTGGAACAGTTACGGTTCAAGTGTATTTGCATCCTTTAAACCTAACAGTTATGAATCAATTAATCAAAGTTTATTTTCGTCCCGAAAATTCCACAATGGGCTTATTGTTTTTGCAATGATAGGAATATTTTTCGGTTTACTCTTTTACATTAAAGTAAATAATATTACATTTTAATAAAAAA